AGAAATGTCGAATGAATCTCCCCGGAGAGAGAGAGAGAGAGAGAGAGAGAGAGAGAGAGAGAGAGAGAGAGAGAGCAGAGAGAGAGAGTCGGCGAAGTTGCCTTTCATTTTTTCGACTCGTTTTTTTTTTTTTTGGTAGAATAAAATGTTTTTTTTTTTTTTTTGCGATTTTGTTTTTTCCGCTGAATAATGCACCGACCGGGCGTCCGTTTCCCCGACCCCCGAAAGTCGTGGCGCGTTAATGGCCGCGACATTTTGGTGGTTTAATAAAACTGGAAACCTGGTCCAGCAACCCTTAAAATAGAAGCTGCAATAGATAAGCACTCTTGCTCCCTTACAATCGATACATACTCGATCAGTGGATGCATTCTCCCACCTTCCTCTTCACATTTTGCTATTTTCCTCCTCTTTCCACAATAGATCTTTCTATTTTTGCTTTCATTCTACCTTTTTACGTATTGCATGCTTTGAAAGCTTACAAGGTAACATAATGTTTGTGCGCAGCCATGGCCACAAGAGGCACTTGTATCAGTGGCAGGGAGGTTCTTGTCAAGCATACCAGATGTGCGCGATGAAATACGCGAAAACTTGACCCACCACATGGCCTTTGTTCACACAGTGGTTACGGAGGCAAGTGTCAGTTATCTGGAGGTTGAACGCCGCTACAACTACACCACGCCAAAGTCATACTTGGAACTGATTGCTTTCTACAAAGCACTCCTTGAAAAGCGCAGGTAAGCAAGAGCATTGTCTTCCTGCATGTTATACATTGGCTCCCTGCCTAGAAGTGGGCAGCAAAGGACTGAGGGACTCATTCTCCACAATCTGTCTGACTCCTTGACAATCTAACATCATTTGAATTGCTAATATATGATCAAAGTACTAGTAATTTACTAAATAGTAGTTAGTCCTGCATTAACAAGGTGGCCTGGCATTACTTAACCAGGAAACCAGAGGAAGGAGGCTTAGGCCTACTGTACCCCAAACAGGAAGCCATTGCTCTCCAAATGAAAGGGGTAATCGAACTGCTTCATCGCCCTGTTCTCCCCTGGGTCAGATTGGTGCTGGACGGCATTGGAAAACTGGCACCCATAACAATGCCAAGCAACATGCAAGGTACTTTCTGGGTCAAAAGAGTGTACAATTAAAACAGGCCACAACAGAAGAACAAGCCACCCATCCAATGCACCCTCCATCACCAGACCTGCGGTATTCCAATCCCCAAACCTCACGGGGCTTCTATTCCCGAGCTTGGTGCAAACTCATACCCAGGAGAACTCAGAAACCTAGGACAAAGAAGAATCTAGGGAAACCACTGTTCTGTAATCAGTGGCTGACCAAGGAAGAGGGAAGGCTGTGCTGACTCTCTTCCAAAGACGCCAAATGGCTAGCGTGGGTAGCGAGAGAAGTGATGGAAATCAGTGTGGGAATTGAGGAAGTCTCTTAAACCACCTCTACGTCGCCACCATTGGGAAAAATGGAAAAACCCGTGGTTTTCTAGGAAGATTTTCATGACCGGGCAGTCAACCGGGCATGACGCCCGGGATGCCCGGGCATGGGAAAAAAAATATAAAAAATAAATTATTTATTTTTATGGCGGTGGGAATTTTCCGCGCTCTCCAAGAGGAGCCCAAATCCAGGCTCTTTTCTTTTTTGAGTGCTGGCCGTCAAGGGGGGGGAAGGGGGGTATAAATTGGTTTTAAAGGGGCTAAAGGGGTCTTAAGGGGGGTGCTTTAGTGTGATTCGGTTATTTTCTTTTTTGATCTTCTGTTCCAAGAGGAATTCTGATGTGACCCTCAGCCAAAAGTTTTTTTTTTTTTTTTTTTTTTTTTTTAAAGAATATAGGTCCTTATGGACCTAGCTCCTTCTATTCTGGGGAGCGTCAGTCCGGTTCCTATTCCACCGGCAAGTCACAGCATAATACATTACAGAGTAGGAACACACGCTTCCTCCCGTCCGGCCGGAGGACCCCTGAACAGCATTGATTACTCCGCCCTTGGTGGAGGATTGACTGTCAGCTTGCCTTGAGTCTCTCTTCCCTCTCAGATCTTCCCTAACAGATCTGCCTGAAATCCCTGTTCAACCTAGGAAGAGATCCTCCCTTGCTGCCATGTGATCTACCTTCCTCTTTTTACCAATTCTTCACAAAAGCTGTGTTCCCCCCTATTCCCTAAAACCCCTTTCTCTGCCTTTCAAGTGTTGTAAAACCCTAAACCCTAAATCCTGCTTCCTTCCCTGACACTTTAATTGGTGTCCCTTGTCCCTTATTCTCCCCCTTCAATACTTGACCTCCTTGGCTGTACGTCCCTTCCCTGCTGCTCCCTCTGCCCCAGCCCCGTTTGTATCTCAGTCCTATCCTTGCGAAGTTAGATTTATTTTAAGTGGGTCTGACGTTAGATTTATTTTAAGTGGGTCTGAGGTTCCCTCCCTTTGCGATTTCTTCTGCAAATCGCTCCTCCCTCCCGCAGTTTATGGTAGTCCAAGCTCCTGGTCCCCATTCTCGTCCTCATATGGCGGGTCCTGGAGATCGTCCTTAAACCAATGGAAGCGCAAGGCTTTCCCTTCCAATGAAGCCACCTTGCCCCCTGCTAGAACCTTTGTTCGAAACTTGTTAATTATTTCCTTAGCCTTATCTGGATTTAATTCTTCCTGCCTCTCCGCTTGCTTCTTGGCTCTCTGCCATTGTACCCTGATTTCTGTTTCCAGCAGGTTGTACATTATTCCTCTGGCTTCCATTATAGTCATATGATTCCCTCCTACCACCCTTTGGCATCTTCTTTTCCACACTGTCCACAATGCGTAGAGCCTCAGTAGCCGGAAAATGTATTTTTGGGAGGAATTCCAGTCTCTGGGCGCTTCCATGTTGATTAGGAGTCTGTCTCTGATCGGAGGGAAGGGAACTTCCGTGACCCGGGACCATAGTGCGCGAGCTAACGCCCACACCTTCTCTGCCTCCGGGCATGAGATTAAGCAGTGGACCATCGTTTCGAGAGCCCCACCCGTACACAGGGTACAGCTTCGTTCCTCCTCTGTCCTAGCTTGCCTGCTTCTTCTTTCATACAACCAAGAGTTGACTGGGAGGGCCACGTGGAGGATGAGCCATTGTAGACTTCTGACCTTACCCAATCTTATACTGTGAAGGGACGACCAGGGCAACTTCCCCACCTGGTCTCTTGGTATCCCCTCCCTCTTTTCCCATCTTAAGGCTAGGGGAAGGTCCAGATGGGTCGATCTTCTCCTCAGCCTATAACCCAGTCTCGTTGTATAGCGGAGAATGTTAATCTTCGTTGTCACTCGTGTCTCTCCACCCCCAATATTCCATGCCCATTCTGTCGGGTCGTACTCCAAATCTTCAATGGCCACCGTGGGTGCAAATACTGTAAATTCGTCATCCTCTACCACCCTGATCTTCCTGAGCAGGCACTTCTTAACTGTGATTGCTGTCTTGGATTCCTTATCTAGGTGACTCACTATGATTCCCGGATTACGAATTACGAACATCTCTGCATCAAGCCACTGTTTATCGGGGCCCACTTCCTGCTGCACCCGGAAGGCCTGCTCTGGAACTGCACTTATATGCCAGGTCGCCCAATCACCCCATTCTCATTTGCACGACCCTCTCAACAACTGCGTCCATTCTTGCAGAATGGATATTAGAACATCGTTTAGATTCTCCGTAAGCTTATGACAACCTTTCATCATGGCTCTCAGTTCCCTCCCTGTCTTCCATCTATTATCATTCTGAGACCATAAGTGCTTGATATGCCAGACCCCGTGTTCCAACCAATTCCCCCATCTGGTGTCCCTAGCTGTTAGTGTCCTCGGCTTCCCTTGGGAATCCTGTAACCAGGGGTTACAGAACAAGGGTTGCCTGAGRACTTCCTCCTTGGATCTRGGTTTYCGTACTCTAGCCGGGAATMTCTCTTCCCATATCCTAAGAATCTGTGCCCAGTATGATGGGGAGGAAGTTCCCTCCTCACCCCCCCGCTCCCTTGGCCTACCCCTTTTTGCCCACCCTTTGCAGAATATCCAGAAGGTGCCCTCCATATTTGGAGGAGTTGAGAACTTCGAAAGCCCTCGTATGTGCTCTAATACTAGGGGAACCCAGCGCAAGTGGGGTTGCGTTACCAGCTTGATAATCCATTTTGATTGGAGTGCCTTAATCTGCTGCTCTGGATCCAGGATGCCCAGTCCCCCCCGATTCTTTGTTTGTGTTACTTGTTTCCAGGCTACCTTAGAAATGAAGTTATCCTTGGTCGGGTTCCCTGTCCACAGATAGGCTGCTGCAACCCTTTGGAGCCTTCGAAGTGTTGAGCCTGGGGGTGACCACAGGGTGGCCACATACCATAGCATGGAGAAGATGGAGGCATTGAGGACCAGGGCTCTCCTGTACAGGGAGGTATAAATGGTAGACCATGCGTCCAGCTTTGCGAGCATTTTGGTCATTTGATCAGGGGCCATGGAGTGATGTGGGCCCTCGTCCGCTAGCCTAATCCCCAAATACCTCAACGGTTGGTGTGGGGGTAGCCACTCCATTCCCCCATGGTCAGGGGGCTGGGGCTGCTGGTGCTGTTGGTCGTATATAAGCCACCATCCTATCGTTTTGGGCCAGTTAATTCTCATTTCCGATGCCAACTGGAATGCTTCCATCGCTTTTGTGAGTGCTTGAAAAGAGGAATCCGTGGCCCTGATGAGTACTGTGAGATCGTCTGTGAATAGTATCGTGGTGGGTAATTCTATTATACGCCCCTGCTGGTCCGGTTCTGCTATTAGACGGTCGATTGAAGGGTCTTTCCTAAGGAATGAAGCTATGGCTTCCATGATAAAGAGAAAGATGGGGGCGGCTAATGGATCACCTTGCCTCACTGATCTAGTCATTCTGTATCTATCTGAAAGATATCCGTTGACTTGTACCTGGCCATGTGAATCGTTGTATAATACTCTCAACCACTTGCGAAAGTTGGGACCTACTCCCATTTTCTCCATACATTGTTGAAGAAAAGGCCAGCTGACTTGGTCATATGCTTTTTCGAAATCAAAGAAGAGGATGGCCGCGTTCATTCTTTTGTTCGCTATGAATCTCACTGATTCCGATAAAGTCATCACGTTGTCCAGGATGAATCTCCCTGGGATAAAGCCTGTTTGATCCAAGTGGAAGCAGTTGGTCGTTAGCCTCCTCAAGCGATTCGCTAATGCTTTGGCCACTATCTTGTGTGTTAGTGTCAAGAGTGTAATCGGTCTGTAGTTTTTAATGTCCCTAGGGTTTCCCTTCTTATACAATAAGGTGACTACCCCTGTTGATGATTCCGTTCCCATGCCTTCGTTGATCCATGCCTGGTTCAAGAAGGTTTCGTATTCCCCTCACAAGATTTCCCAGTACTCCTGCCAGAACTCCCTTGTTAGTCCATCCCTGCCCGCCGTTTTGTTTGGAGGCATTGTATCTAAAGCCACTCTCAGCTCTTCTTGCGAAAGCGGGGCGTCTAGCATCTCTGCCTTGACCCCATTCACTGTGCGGTTCAGGTAGGCCAGGAATTTATTCCGAACTTCCTTTACCTGTCTTGGATCCTGGTCCCCTTCTCTAGACCTATAGAGTGAGGTGTAGAAGCTACTGGCTACCGACAACAACCCTTCAGGATCTGACACTACTCCCTGAGAGCCTTCCAGCTGCTCTATTTGCGAATTCCTACCTCTGGTTTTAATCTTTTGAAAGAAATACTTTGTCATTCGTTCTCCT